TCCAAAGACCTCCAGGTATGTTGGACTACAAACCCTATTGTCCCCAGCAGGGGCTTCCCTGGAATTGGAGGAAGGCTGTGAGAAGCGACGGGGCCAAACCGGGTTAAAATATATCGTCGGTTTCTGATCTTGGGGCAGAAAAGAAAACTGGGGGCATCTCTGCAAACGATTTGGGAAGGTGGGCTTGAGGCCAGTGGGTGTGTGTGGGTAGTATTATGGGGGTGGGGGGCATTGCTACTGGATGTGAATTGGGCAAACCCAAATGCTTTCAAATAAACCAGCATTCTTGGTTTAAATCTGCCTTTCCATTCCTTTCCACTTCCACTTCTGAAATGCTGCCCCCCCCACCCCAAATTTCCTGCAAGAAAAGGCTTCAAACGAGCCTTTTGAACGAGCAAAATTCACGGCAAATATTGCCCCCTCCTCAAATTCCCGACACCGAACAAATCAAAAATGGCAAATCTGATATAAATTTGGGGGTTTTAACCCCTGTTCAAAGCCCCCCTCCCCTTGTTCTCCAAAAATAGAGGGGGTGGGATAATTCTGGAATAGCCTCCCTCAAGAACGTTAGGCTTGCGATTCCCATCATCCCCCACCAACCAGCAATGGGGAAGATGGGAGTTGTAGTCGAAGCTGGAAAGAATCAGATTAGAACGGGGGAGCAATAATAACGGGGGTCTTTTTTGACCCCTCCCCTTCCCCACCTTCTGGAAACATGCAGGCAATCCTCGGATTTACGACCTCAATTGGGACCAGAATTTCCGTTGCTATGCGAGGCCGTCGTTAAGTGAGTCACGTCCGACTTTTGCCAACTGCTTTGCCCCGACGGTTAAGCCAATCGCTCTGGCCGTAACATGAATCGCGCCCCGTTTTGTGACCTTCTTCTTCCTCGCGGTGGTTAAGCAAATCGTTGCGGCTGTTCAACGAATCAGCCGGTCCTTAAGCGAATCCACATTCCTCAATTGACTGAGCTGGTCAGAAGGTCGCAAAAGGGGAATGACGGAGACCTGAATTTTGACCGTGGGGATGTTGCAACTGTCGTAAGTGTGAAAAACGGGCTAAGTCACTTTTTTTCAGTGTCGTTGTAACTTCGGACGGTCGCTAAATGAACCGTCCGTAAGTCGAGGACTACCTGCACCGCAAAGGTGGAACGTGGAAAAGGGAGGCTCAAAGGGAAATTTCTCCGTTCGCGAAACACGGCGCATCGGATCCCTTCCTGGCCCGGAAACCAGCAATCGTGGTTTGTGACGACAAGGATTCCCGGCCTCAGCAGACGGTGGCGTATGGGCCATCCAGCACCTGGTAGCGGATCTTGGTGTTGGTGACGGCGCCGTGTTTCTGTCGCAGGTGCAGGCGCAGCTGGCTCTTGTGGCGGAAGTGGACGCGGCACTGCTCGCACTGCGGAGAGGAAACGAGGTTACGGAAGATTGGCACCCGCGTTGGTAAGGGGGGGGGCGAAGCGATGGCGGAGCTGATCAGGGGGGAGGGAGGTCCTGGGTGCTCTCGGAGCTTGGAGACGTTTTGGGACCTAACTAGGTAACATCATCAGTGCTAGAAGGGAGGGGGGTTTGTGGGGAGGGGAGGGAGAAGGAGGAGGGGGAAAGAGGAGGGGAAGAGAAGGAGGAAGAGGAGGAGAAAGATGAGGAAGAGAAGAGAAGGAGGAAGGGGAGGGAAAGGAGGAGGGGAGGAGAAGAGGAGGGAGGAGGGAGGAGGGGGAGAAAGAGAAAGAGATGGAGGAGGAGAAGAAGGAAGAGGAGGAGAAAGTGGAGGGAGAGAGAAAGAGAAGGAGGAGGGGGAGGGGAAGAGGGAAGAGGAGGAGAAGAGGAGGAAGAGAAAGAGAAGGAGGAGTGGAGGGGGAAAGAGGAGGGGAGGGGAAAGAGGAGGGGAGGAGAAAGAGGAAGAGGAGGAAGAGAAAGAGAAGAGAAGGAGGAGTGGAGGGGAAGAGGAGGGGGGAAGAGGAAGAGGAGGAAGAGAAAGAGGAAGAGGAGGTGAAAAGAGAAGGAGGAGGAGAAAGAGGAGGGGAAGAGAAAGAGAAGGAGGAGGAGAAAGAGGAGGGGAGGAGAAAGAGGAAGAGGAGGAGAAAGAGGAGGAAGAGAAAGAGAAGGAGGAGTGGAGGGGAAAGAGGAGGGGAGGAGAAAGAGGAAGAGGATGAAGAGAAAGAGAAGGAGGAGTGGAGGGGAAAGAGGAGGGGAGGAGAAAGAGGAAGAGGAGGAAGAAGAAAGAGAGGAGGAGTAGTGGCGGGGAAAGAGGAGGGGAAGAGGGAAGAGGAGGAAAGGAAAGAGGAGGAAGGAGGAGAAAGAGAGGAGGAGGAGAAAGAGGAGGGGGAAGAGAAAGAGGAAGAGGAGGAAAGAGGAGGAAGAGAAAGAGGAGGGGAGGAGGGAAAGAGGAAGAGGAGGAGAAAGAGGATGAAGAGAAAGAGAAGGAGGAGTGGAGGGGAAAGAGGATGGGGAGGAGAGAAGAGGAAGAGGAGGAAGAAAAAGTGAAGGAGGAGTGGAGGGAAAGAGGAGGGGAAGAGGAGGGGAGGAAGAGAAAGAGGAGGAGGAGGAGAAAGAGAAGGAGGAAGAGAAAGAGAAGGAGGGAGGGAGGGGGAAAGAGGAGGGAGGAGAAAGAGGAAGAGGAGGAGGAGAAAGAGAAGGAGGAGAGGAGGGGAAAGAGGGAAGGAAGAGAAAGCGAAGGAAGAGGAGGAGGAGGAGAGGAAAGAAAAAGAAAGAGGGAGAAAGAGAAGGAGAAGGAAGAGAAAGAGAAGGAGGAGGAAGTGGAGAAACAGGAGGGGCGAAGGGGAGGAAGAGGAGGAGGAAAAGGACTGTGAGGTCCTTGAGGACTCTCTGAGTGTGGAGGTTTTCTCGAGACGTTTCATGACCCACCTAGGTAACATCATCAGTGCTACAAAGAAATGGGGTTTGTGAAGAGGAGGAGGAGGTCGAAGAGGACTGGGGAATTCTGGGAGTTGAAGTCCACCCACCAAATTGCCAAGCCTGAGAAACACCCCTCTAAAAAAGTCATACTCAACCGTCGCTTCCCCATCTCATAGAGCCCTGATGATGCTACCGAGACTGGCAGCGAGACGTCTTCCGGAAGCAAGCCAAACTGGAAAACCCCAAGACCCTCAGCTCTGAACCCTGAGCTCCCCCACCCTTCACCCCCACTCGATTCTTCCCCCTCCCCACTCTTCCCTTGAAGCCCCGCCCCCTAGAAGAACCCACCCTCCGTTCAACCACACCGAGAACCGAGATGCCCAGTTTCCCCCGGCTCTTCCAGAAGACCTGTTCCTCCCCACCCCCGCAAGTTCTCAATGGGGCAGCTGCCCCTTTCGCCGCTCACATGATAAGTTTCTCCCCGGTGTGGATGCGGAGGTGGCTTTTGAGGGTCTGCAGGTGTCGGAAGCGTGTGCCACAGATGCCACATGGGTAGGGCTTCTCGCCCGTGTGGATCAAGACGTGGGCTCGGAGATGCGCCACCTGGAAGGGGAGGTGGGGCAGGGAGGAACATCCAATGAAGCCACCTTTTAGGGGAGGGGGGGGAAAAGGGGTTTGTGCCAACCCCCACACACTTCCATAGGGTGCATAATCAGGGGTGGGATTGAAAAATTTCAGCAACCGGTTCATTCCTGGTTGCTGGATGGGCATGGCCTACTCAGAACTCCTGCCAAGTTTTTGCCCTCCCCAGGCTCCAGAGGCTTTTCTGGAGCTTCCAGGAGGGCGAAAACGGCCTCCCGTGGGCACCGGAGGCCGGAAACAGGCCCGTTTCTGGACTTCCGGTACTTCCGGTAGGTCTGTTTTTCGGTAGGCCTCTGCGCGGGACCCCTGCACTTACCTGGCATCCAAAATGGGGGCTGCATGGAGACTCCGGGAGGGGAGGGGAGGGGTGGGAGGGTCAGCCAGTCCTTGGAACAACGGTTCGGCGAACCAGATTAAAATTAACATCCGATTTGCCACAACCGGTGCAAACGGCTGAATCTCACCCCTGTGCATAACCCCATAAGGTGGGAAAAACAATCAGCCGGTTTCAACAGCCGGTTCGCCAAACTGCTTAGAAAGTCAGCTACCGATTCTCCTGAACCGATGCGAACCGGCTGAATCTCACCCCTGTGCATAACCCCATAAGGTGGGAAAAACAATCAGCCGGTTCCAACAGCCAGTTCGCCGAACTGCTTTGAAAAGTCAGCTACCGGTTTCTCCTGAACCGATGCGAACCGGCTGAATCTCATCCCTGTGCATAACCCCATAAGGTGGGAAAAACAATCAGCCGGTTCCAACAGCCGGTTCGCCAAACGGCTTAGAAAGTCAGCTACCGATTCTCCTGAACCGATGCGAACCGGCTGAATCTCACCCCTGTGCATAACCCCATAAGGTGGGAAAAACAATCAGCCGGTTCCAACAGCCGGTTCGCCGAACTGCTTCAAAGTCAGCTACCGGTTCTCCTGAACCGATGCGAACCGGCTGAATCCCACCATTTGGCCGCATTGGTATCCCGGGCACAGGTTTTGCTTCCATCCCGTAGTCGAGCCTCCACAATTAGGGGCAGTCTACCTCCGAAGAACACATGGCAGACAGGTTGAGCCACTCCCGGAAAAGCAGGGTGCTCACTAAATGGGGCCTTGTTTCTTTCCCCCGTGCGAAGCCATCCGGATTTTGGGTTTTTATTTTATAGGATTTCGTTTCAATTCAATTTTACTTTAAATCAAATAAACTCGTTTTGATTCGATGAACATTTCGGTATTCAGTTTGATTCGGTTTCAGTTTCAAACAAGATCGATAAACTTTTTTGAGCCGCTGAACAATCCCGATTTTGTTTCATTTTATCATTTCTTAAAATAAAAGAAACTTTTTTCACCCACTGAGGAATCCTGATTTTGTTTTATTTCTTAAAATAAAATCAACTCCTTCGATCCACATTTTCTTTCGTTGAATTCATTTTTAAATGAAATCAATAAACGTTTTGGACCCCCACGGAGCAATCCCGATTTTGCATCGGATGGATTTTTTTCTTTCTGCAAATAAACGAAATAAACTCTTTGGACCCAATTGAGCAATCCTGACTTTTCATTTTACTTTATTTATAAATAAAATAAAACTCCGCCGTTTCCACATTTTGATGTGGTGATGATTTATTTGGCATAGGATGTTACTTTGCAAACTTTTTGGCTTGCAAATCATCGCCTCCAATATATAAATCGTCTCAATATATATATATATATTGCATATATATATATATATATATATATGTCTTTTTCTTTTTCTTTTTCGTAGGCTTTTATGTGCATATTCTTTCTAGCCAGGTTTTACCTACTTAGTTTACGTAGGTAAAAACCTGGCTAGAAAGAATATGCATATATATATATATATAACCTGGCTAGAAGAAAAGCATATATATACACATACATACATACATACATACATACATACATACATAAATATAATATATATATATATATATATATATATATATATATATATATATATATATATATATATATACATATATACATATATACATATACACATATACACACACACACACATATATATATACACATACATATATACATACATACATACATATATATATATATATAATATATATATATATATATATATATATATATATATATATATATATATATATACATATATACATATACACATACACACGCACACACACACACACACACATATATATATATGTATGTATGTATGTATGTATGGAAAAAAAACAAACCAAATTTTAGATGCCGCCATATCCCTTGAGCATTAAAAAAAAGGGAGATTGGAGGTGGCGGCTGCCATTTTGACTTTTTTGACCTACGTGGACACAGAGATTGGGGGTGGGATTTCCCCGGGGGGTCTCCTTACCTGGACAAAACAGGACCCACACATCTCGCACTTGTAGGGTTTCTCTCCGGAGTGAATGCGTAAGTGCGTCTTGAGGTTTGCCGGCCGGTTAAACTGGGCCCCGCAAATCCCGCAATGGTAGGGCTTCTCCCCTGTTGGCAGGAAGAACCGTAGGGGGAGGGATTTGGAGTATCGAACCCACCCATTGGCCCTTTGCTCTGTCCGTCGAGTGGGTTGTAGCTCAGTGGACTTCAACTCCCAGAATTCCTCTGGGTGGGGAATTCTGGGAATTGAAGTCCACCCAACTTAGGAACAAAGCCCTCAGTGGTTTCCCATGCAGTCCAACCACAGTACCGTGTCTCCCCCCCCCCTTGGCCTTGAGATGCACACGCGTGTGCCCACATGCCCTTTGCATGCCCACCTGCGTGCAAGGCTCGGTGACTAGCCAGGCTCCCCTTGCAACGGAAAGCAGAGCTGCAGAAATGGCATTTGTAAGGTTTTTCCTTTGCATCTGGGCCGGGGGCTGGGCTGCCTCTTTCCTCTTCGTCCTCTTCCCGGAGATAGTGCAGATCACAGGCCTGGCAGCTGGAGGATCCACTGCCTGGGGAGCAAGGAAATAAAGAGACTTTACTCCATCTCTCTCTCTCTCATCTATCTCTCATCTATATCTATCTGTCCATCCGTCTATCTATCTATCTATCTATCTATCTATCTATCTATCTATCTATCTATCTATCTTTAATCTATCCATCCATCCATGTATCTATCTCTAGCCATCCATCCATCCATCCATCCATCCATCCATCCATCCATCCATCTATCTATATCTAATCTATCTATCTATCTATCTATCTATCTATCTATCTATCTATCTATCTATCTATCTACTTACCTACCTACCTACCTACCTATCTACCTATTATCTATCTATCTATCTATCTATCTATCTATCTATCTATCTATCTATCTTTAATCTATCCATCCATCCATGTATCTATCTCTAGCCATCCATCCATCCATCCATCCATCCATCCATCCATCTATCTATCTATCTATCTATCTATCTATCTATCTACTTACCTACCTACCTACCTATCTACCTATTATCTATCTATCTATCTATCTATCTATCTATCTATCTATCTACCTATCTTTCTAATCTATCTATATTTAATCTATCCATCCATCCATCCATATCATCTATCTATATCTATATCTATCTATCTATCTATCTATCTATCTATCTATCTATCTTTAATCTATCCATCCATCCATCCATCCGTGTATCTATCTCTCTATCTATCCATCCATCCATCCATCCATCCATCCATCCATCCATCCATCTATCTATCTATCTATCTATCTATCTATCTATCTATCTATCTATCTATCTATCTACTTACCTACCTACCTACCTACCTACCTATTATCTATCTATCTATCTATCTATCTATCTATCTATCTATCTATCTATCTATCTATCTATCTACCTACCTACCTACCTACCTACTATCTATATTTAATATCTATCCATCCATCCATCCATATCATCTATCTATCTATCTATCTATCTATCTATCTATCTATCTATCTATCTATCTATCTATCTATCTTTCTAATCTATCTATATTTAATCTATCCATCCATCCATCCATATCATCTATCTCTATCTATCTATCTATATCTAATCTATCCACCTACCCACCCATCCATCCATCTCTCTTTCTCTCTCTCTCTATCAATAATCTATCCACCCATCCATCCATCCATCCATCTATATCAAAACTATCCATCCACCCATCTCTCTCTCTCTCTCTCTCTCTCTCTCTCTCTCTCTCTCTCTATATATATATATATATATATATATATATAATTCATCCATCCATCCATCATTATCTCTATTTTAATCTTTCCCTAGATCTAAAGGTTTTGGACAGCAGCCAAATGTTTTGGGGTGGAGACCTAGGCACTCTGCACATGCCTCCGAAAACCCTTGCTTCAGGCTGTGAAACCAGCCACAGGCTGGCTATGGCCAGGCACAAAGGCAAACAGTTCTTGACTTACGGCCATTTGTTTAGCGACCGTTCAAAATGACTCACAACCGAGACTTTTGTTTCCGGGCATTTAAGGCGGGGGAGGGAAACCGGGCGCCCCCCCTCTCCCCCACCAGGTGGGCCGTGGGTTGCCGGGGCCCGCTGAGCTCCAGAAAGTGGGGCAGAAACCCCCTCCCATCCCTTAGACCTTTCCCCCCCGTGTCACCGACTCACCGGGGCTGCCGCCGTCTCTCCTTTGCGCAGAAAGGCCCTTGGGGGGCTGAGAAGAGAGCGCGGAGGGCGCCGGGTTGCAAACGGAGCACCGGAGGTCACCCGGAGGCCTCCTGTGGAATTGGGGAGGGGGGGAGAGAGCCGGTGGGTCAGTGCAGTCCGGATCCTGGATCCCAATCTCGACTGGGCCCCTAAGGACCCCAATGGAGCCATTGAAACCCCATCTGCCTCCCCAAGGACCCCCCCCTCTTAACCCCAAAGAGGCATCACCCCTAATTTGATGTACCCCAAACTTCTCGGCTTCTGCATGAGGGCAGGTGCTCCAGAACAGGACCCAGAGCAGGGAAAGAAAGGAACTGCACTCTGCACGTGCCCAGGGGCTACTCTCCCAGTATGACACCCGCACCCCTCCGTGCCCAGAAGTTTGGGAACTACACTTCCCCGGTATCTTCCTCCGTGACCCAATACAGAAGCGCAGAATTGGAGAAAGCCCTCTGTACGTGCTCAGAGGCCCTCTGGCCACGATGCCAGGGGGGGAGGAGCAGTCTGACCTGGGGGCGGGGCTTCCTTCTCCGGAGCTGCCAGACTGTCCCGCCTCGCCCTCCGTCTGGCGCAGCGTGGAATTGAGGACGATGAAACGGTACTTCTTCCAGTTGCAAATTTTGGGGTCCGGGATCGGGGTGCAGCCGCTGGATTCGGCGGGGGAGGCCGGGTGGACCACCGGGAAGAGATCCCCGGCTCCCGGGGATCTGACGGCTCCCGATTCCTTCTCCGGGGGGCGAAAAGATGCAGGCTGCGGGGACCCTTCGGTGGTGGCCCCTCGGGAAAAGGGGGCCGCGATGGAGTCTCGTTGCAGTGACGGTTCGTCTTCCAGCGGCCGGAATATTTGGGTCTGGGGGTCCAGAGGGGGCAGCAGGAAGGTGAGCCGGTCGTAGCTGCAGGAACCACACAGGGACGGGTTAGGGGGCTCAGGGGTCCTCTCCGATACCCCCAAACGCTACGGATAATCCTCGACTTGCGACCACAATCGATCCCAAAATTTATCTCGTTAAGTAAGACATTTGTTGAAAGTCAACTCTGCCTCGTTTTACGACCTTTCGGGCCACGGTTGTTAAGTGAAACATTGCAGTCGTTAAGTGAGTCACACAGTTGTTAAGCGAATTTATGTTGCTAAGTGAGACATTGTGGGGGTTTTTTTGAGTCTTGCCCTGTTTTACAACGCAGTTGTTAAGTGAACCCCGGCAGTTCTTAAATCAGTAACATGGTTGTTAAGTGAATCCGGCTTCCCCCGTTGACTTTGCTGGTCAGAAGGTCGCAAAAGGGAGTCACGTGACCGTGGGACACTGCAACCGTCATAAATATGAGTCAGTTGCCAAGCGTCCGAATTTTGATCACGGGGATTCTGCGACGGTCGTTAAGTGTGAAAAACGGTCGTAGTGCCACTGTTTCCAGCGCTGTTGCAACTTGGGACGGTCACTAAATAAATATAGGTGGTCCTCAACTTACAACGGTTCACTTAGTGACCATTCAAAGTTACGGCAGCATCGATAAAGGTGACTTGTGACCATTTTTCACACTTAACGACCGTCGCAAGCATCCCCATGTTCACGTGATTTACATTTGGATGCTTGACTCGCAGTGTTCCGGGGGGGATTACATGATTCCCTTCTGACAAGCAAAGTCAATGGGGAAGCCCGATTCGCTTAACGACGGTGTGACTCATTTAACGACCGCCGTGATTGACTTGACGAACGTGGCCGGAAACATCGTAAAATGGAGCAAAACTCACTCAACCAACGTCTCACTTAGCAATGAAAATGTCGGGCTCAATTTGCGGTCATAAATTGAGGACTACCTATATTCCGAGCGCAATCGGGGCGAAGCAGAGAATCAGGGAGGAAAGTTATGCTCAGAGGCCCTCTTGCCAGAAAACGCGGATCAAGGCCGACCCCCAAAAAGGAATGGGAGTGGGGGGGGGTCCTTGGACCCCAAAATCTTCCCCTCGTTCTTGATTCGAGATCCGCTTTCATCCCTTCTCCTCTCTCATTCGTTGCCATTTAAAAGTGGGAAGCAGAAATGACAATCTAACCCAGTTTGTCTCCATCTTGGCCACTTTAAGACGGGAGGGACTACAACTCCCAGAATTGCTGGCTGGGGAATTCTGGGAGTCGAAGTCCACCCCTTTTAAAGCAGACAAGCAGGGGAATTCTGGGAGTTGAAGTCCAGACATCTTAAAGTGGCTCAAATTGAGACCAACTGGTTGTATCCCTCAGCAGGAATCCAATGCTGGCTGGGAACGCTGGGAATTGTAGTCCCCACACATCCCAAGGGCTCCAGGTTGGGGACAACCGAGCCTTCTATCCCTCAAAGCCACTTACTGTATTTTTTGGAGTATAAGACTCTCCGGACTATAAGACGGACCTACCATTTTTGGGGAGGAAAACAAGAAAAAAAAAAAAAAAACAGCCTCTGCCTCCCAGCAATTTGCCTTCTTGCAGCAAATGTAATTGAATTAATTCAATTTATATTGAATTGAATTGAATTAATTCAATTTATATGCCGCCCTTCTCCGAAGACTCAGGGCGGCTCACGATACATTTAAAAAAATCATTATAAAAAAAACATTTAAAAATTAAAAACATTAAAAAAACAGCCACTTTCAGCTTCAGCACAGCCTGATTAGCGCAAACAGCTGATTGTCGGTTGGATCTGCCTCCTGAAGATCAGCTGTTTCAGGCTGCAGGGATTGCCATTGCCTATTGCCGCCTCCGCACGTCCCAGTTTTGGCCTCCGCATCCCGTTTTCAGCCTCCCCACGCCCCGTTTTGGGCCTCTGTGCACCCCATTTTCCGCCCGTTCCGGGTGGCGGTGATCGGAACGGACGGAAAATGGGGCACGCGGAGGCCAAAAATGGGACGCGGAGGCTGAAAACGGGGCACGCGGAGGCGGCAATCGGCTGTACTATGGCAATCCCTGCAGCCTGAAACAGCTGATCATCGGGAGGCCGACAATCAGCTGCTTGTCAGGCTGTGCTGAAGCTGAAACTGAAACAGGCTGTTTGCTGCAAGGAGGCAAATTGCTGGGAGGCAGAGGCCAAAGCGGGGGAGGGGGATGGGTGGGCGGGGCTACATTCGGTGTATAAGACGCACCTAAATTTTCACCCTCTTTTTGGGGGGGGGGAGTGCGATTTATACTCCGAAAAATACGGTAAGTACCCGGAAAAAAAAGCTTTTTTCTCCATTTTTTAAGCAAATAATTGCTTTGTTCCCTTTTAAAAACCCCTCCTGTTTTATTCCAGATGTTCCTCTTCCCTTCCCCAATCCAAGAGGAACCCCTTCCTACTCCATCTGGACTTCTGGGATCCCCCCTCCCCTCTAAATCCCCCTCCCCAGCCCCCCCCCTCCCGGGTACCTGGCCTGGAGGAAGCGGTGACAGCTCTGGACTACATGTTCCATCTGCAAATAAGAAGCGGCGACCAGCACCGCGGGCGCCGTGCCCGGACTGAGCAGGAGGCGGGAGGTGTACATAAAATCCAGGAGGGCTTGGAAGCCCACGGGTTCGATGGAGCTGGGGAGGGTCAGCATGCTGACTTCGTGGCCTCCGTGGCCCAGGAAAACAGAATAAAAGAAGCCGCTGAGGGAGAAAGAGGCGGGAAGGAGAGGTCAAGGCAAGGACCGTCTTTAGGATCTCTGGGCGGTTCAAAGAGAGCGGACTACAAATCCCATACGCCTCACCCTTGATCGGGCCCATGGGCCTGAAGCGGGGCCTCTCCTGTTGCTAGAATTTCCTACAGAACCTCAGTTTATTTCAGGGGTGAGTAAATAAATAAATAAATATATGTATATATATATGTATATATGTATATATATATGTATATATGTATATATATATGTATATATGTATATATGTATATATATATATTATTCCAAAAAAAGTTAAAAATCAAAACTCCAACAATTAAAGAAATAACACAAAACGAGGCTTATTAAAAAACAAACAAACACAACCACAGGTAGTCCTCGATTTACGACGACAACAGAGCCCGACATGTCCGTCGCTAAGCGAGACATGGCGGAAGTCAGCCTTGTCCCGTTTTAGGACCTTTCCGGCCAGCGTGGCTGAGTGAATCGCTGCCGTCGTTCAGCGAGGCACATGGTTGTTAAGCGAATCCGGCGGTCCCCCATGCCTGTCAGAAGGTTGCAAAAGGGGATTGCGCTGCGACCGTCATCAATACGAGTCGGCCGCCAAGCATTTTGATCAGGTGGCCATGTGGCTATGGCGACGGTCGTTAAGGGTGAAAAACGGTCGTAAGTCACTTTTTTTTCCAGTGCCAACGTAGACCGGTCACTAAGTGAACCGTTGTAAGTCGAGGACTATCTGTAGAAACACCCTTTCCTTAGATTGGGAATCCCACTGGGAAGGGAACTCTAGAGGTCATCTAGTCCAACCCCCCCGCTCAGCATTTCTGACAAATTCTCCGGACAAACACCTTGTTCTGCCAGTGTCAGCCTCGCCCGTGCCCACCTGTGGGGGGGGGTACTCTCACCTGCAAGCGGTCAGGACAGCCTTATGGGCTCGCAAGGGGCAGCCCCCCACCCTCAAGGTGACGTCCGTCAGGATCTGTCGCTTGCGCAGCTCGTTCAGGTTCGTCAGGACGTCGCTGGAGTGGCGGGTGAATTCCCGGACGTAGCTGGGGGGGCTGGGCCCAGCCATGGCTCCTGGAGGGCGGGAAGAGGGGAGAGAGAGGGGGCTCTCAGGCCGGGTGGGGCAACCTTGCCAGCTTGAAGGTGGGTGGACTTCAACTCCCAGAATTCCCCTAGACAGCTCTTCCCCCCCGCTTTTGCTGAAGTTAAAGATATATTACGTCGACTGCATTCCCACCGTCTATTAAGAAAGCTTCCCAAGCCAAAAAAAACACGATAAAAGTAGGTTAGTCACATTTATCTGGTGAATAAATTTTACCTGGTAAATCTTTGCTGGCTAGAGCTGGATGGGACCTTGGAGGTCTTCTAGTCCAGCCCCCTGCTCAACCGGGAGACCCTAGACCATTTCAGACACAAATGGCTGGCCAGCCTCTTCTTAAAAAGCTCAAGATTAAACAGAGAGACAGAGAGACAGACAGACAGACAGACAGACATAGATTTATAAGCAGCTAGATAGTGAGAGGAGAGAGAGAGAGAGAGAGAGAAAGAAAGAAAGAAAGAAAGAAAGAAAGAAAGAAAGAAAGAAAGAAAGAAAGAAAGAAAGAAAGAAAGAAAGAAAGAAAGAAAAGAAAGAAATGGAAGGAAGGAAGGAAGGAAGGAAGGAAGGAAGGGGGAGAGTGAGGGGGAGAGAGAGAGAAAGAAAGAAAGAAAGAAAGAAAGAAAGAAAGAAAGAAAGAAAGAAATGGAAGGAAGGAAGGGAAGGAAGGAAGGAAGGAAGGGTGAGAGTGAGGGGGGAGAGAGAGAGAAAGAAAGAAAGAAGGGGAAATAAATGGTAGGAAGGAAGGAAAGGAAGGAAGGAAGGGGAAGAGTGAGGGGGGAGAGAGAGAGAGAGAGAGAGAGAGAGAGAAAGAAAGAAAGAAAGAAAGAAAGAAAGAAAGAAAGAAAGAAAGAAAGAAAGAAAAAAGAAATGGAAGGAAGGAAGAAAAGGAAGGAAGGAAGGGTGAGAGTGAGGGGGGAGAGAGAGAGAAAGAAAGAAAGAAAGGGAAATAAATGGTAGGAAGGAAGGAAAGGAAGGAAGGAAGGGGAAGAGTGAGGGGGGAGAGAGAGAGAGAGAGAAAGAAAGAAAGAAAGAAAGAAAGAAAGAAAGAAAGAAAGAAAGAAAGAAAGAAAGAAAGAAAGAAAGAAAGAAAGAAGAGGAAGAAAAGGAAGGAAGGAAGGGTGAAAGTGAGGGGGGAGAGAGAGAGAGAGAGAAAGAAAGAAAGAAAGAAAGAAAGAGAAAGAGAAAGAAAGAAAGAAAGAAAGAAATGGAAGGAAGGAAGAAAAGGAAGGAAGGAAGGAAGGAAGGGGAGAGTGAGGGGGAGAGAGAGAGAAAGAAAGAAAGAGAGAAAGAAAGAAAGAAAGAGAAAGAAAGAAATGGAAGGAAGGAAGGAAGAAACGGAAGGAAGGAAGGAAGGGGGAGAGTGAGGGGGAGAGAAAGAAAGAGAGAAAGAAAAAAAGAGAAAGAAAGAAAGAAATGGAAGGAAGGAAGGAAGAAAAGGAAGGAAGGAAGGAAGGGGAGAGTGAGGGGGAGAGAGAGAGAAAGAAAGAAAGAGAGAAAGAAAGAAAGAGAAAGAAAGAAAGAAATGGAAGGAAGGAAGAAAAGGAAGGAAGGAAGGAAGGGGGAGAGTGAGGGGGGAGAGAGAAAGAAAGAAAGAAAGAAAGAAAGAAATGGAAGGAAGGAAGGAAGAAACGGAAGGAAGGAAGGGGGAGAGTGAGGGGGGAGAGAGAGAGAAAAAAAAAGAAAGAAGGAGAGAGGAGGGGGAAGAGAGAGACTCAGAGGGCTGGAAGGGAATTCTAGAGGTCTTCTAGTCCAACCCCCTTCTCAAGCAGGAGACCTATATATACCATTTCAGACAAATGGCTGTCCAAGCTCTTCTTAAAAAGCTCTAGTGATGGAGCCCCTACAACCTCTGGTGGCAAGTAGTTCCCCTGGCTAACTGTTCTCTGGGTCAAGAAACTTTTCCTTAGTCCTAGACTGGATTGCTCTGGGATGACCTCCACTCTCTCGACCCTCTTCAGCCGAGTCCGCACGGATCTTAAATCCCCCCCGCCCCCCCCCGGTAGGTTGGTCCCACCGAGTGGTACAAACCAACCCCACCCCACCGGCAGACCGTGGCTTAAGCCACCAAACCAGGTTGGCTTGTCAAGTCTACCGAGTGACCCCCTGCAGCTTCATCTCCTAGCTGTGAATCCAAGCCCCCCCCTCAAATACTCACACCTGTCCTGCAGGGTTGACGGGGGGTGCCTCTGTCCCGGCCAGCAGGTGTGGGGTGCTTTGAGCTGGGAGGGGGGGGGCAGAGATCCAGCTGGACCCCCCCAGTCCCTTCCAGAGCCGCAGCCTTCTGAGAACCAGCCTCAAACGTGGCTGGCTCCAGCGGGGTCTTTTATAACATCTGGATGGGGGGGGGACACGAAATAGGAAGGAAACTGACCGGGTGACGTTCAGAATCACTAGAAAGAACGGAGGATGGGGGGGGGGTGACAAAGAGGAAGGGGTTTATTTATAGAAGGACCCGGAAGGTGCTTAGAGCTCAGGAAACTTTGGCCGGGTATCGTGGGTGGGGGGGTCTCTGCACACACACCCCCACCCCAAGATTAGAGCTTGCCTCCTGCGGCCCCTCCCTCCCTCAATTCTTCTCTGCAATTTTCTGGATATTGTCCTCTTCCTGGTTTCCTTGTTTTTGTGCATGGCTCTTTGTGTGCGTGTGGGTCTGTGTGTGCACACGCGTGAGATGTGTAAGGGAGGAAGCACCTGCTTGTATGAGAGCATTTCCTAGCGGGGCAGATTTCCTGCTTGTTTGGCCGGGAGTTTCTTGGGCCCATCCGAAAGGCGAGGTTTTTAAGGGGGCAGGGAAGTTTGGGGCTGCCGCCGGATCTGCCGTTATCCGTTACTAATTTGGGCCTGGAAGATATGAGGTCATTGGGGGAGACGAGGGGGGTCTCGGGATGTTGTCCCTCTTTTCTCGTGACAAACAACTCAGTGCTTCTCCACATTGGCAGGTTTCAGGTGGGTGGACTTCAATTCCCAGGATTCCCCAGCCAGCATGATTTAAGATGGGTGGACTTCAACTCCCAGAATTCCCCAGCCACCATGACTTAAGATGGGTGGACTACAACTCCCAGGATTCCCCAGTCAACCATGCTTTAAGATGGGTGGACTTCAACTCCCAGAATCCTCCAGTCAGCATGATTTAAAATAGGTGGACTTCGATTCCCAGAATTCCTCATCCAGCCAGCATACTTTACTTTAAGATGGCTGGACTTCAACTCCCAGAATTCTTAGCCAGCAGGCTTTAAGAGGGATGGACTTCAACTCCCAGAATTCCCCAGCTGGCATGCTTTAAGATGACTGGACTTCAACTCCCAGAATTCTTAGCCAGCAGGCTTTAAGATAAGTGGAGCTCTATTCCCAGAATTCCCCAGCCAGCATGATTTAATAGAGGTGGACTTCAACTCCCAGAATTCCCTAGTCAGCGTTTTTAAAGAGGGGTGGATTACAATTCCTGAAATTCCTCAGCCAGCATCCTTTAAACAGGGATGGACTTCAACTCCCAGAATTCCCCAACCAGCATGCTTTAAGATAGGATGACTTCGGTTCCCAGATTTCCTCATCCAGCCAGTGTACTTTAAGATGGCTGGACTTCAACTCCCAGAATTCTTAGCCAGCAGGCTTTAAGATAAGTGGGCCTCTGTTCCCAGAATTCCCCAGCCAGCATGATTTAATAGAGGTGGACTTCAACTCCCAGAATTCCCTAGTCAGCATCCTTTAACAGGCGTGGACTTCAACTCCCAGAATTCCCTAGTCAGCATTTTTTAAGAGGGGTCGATTACAATTCCCAGGATTCCCCAGCCAGCATTCTTTAACAGGGGTGGACTTCAATTCCCAGAATCCTCCAGTCAGCTTTAAGATAGGTGGACTTCATTTCCCAGAATCCCTCATCCAGCCAGCGTACTTTACTTTAAGAGGGATGGACTTCAACTCCCAGAATTCCCCAGCTGGCAGGCTTTAAGATAAGTGGACCTCTATTCCCAGAATTCCCCAGCCAGCATGATTTAATAGAGGTGGACTTCAACTCCCAGAATTCCCTAGTCAGCATTTTTAAAGAGGGGTGGATTACAATTCCCAAAATTCCTCAGCCAGCATCCTTTAAACAGGGATGGACTTCAACTCCCAGAATTCCCCAACCAGCATGCTTTAAGATAGGATGACTTCGGTTCCCAGATTTCATCATCCAGCCATTGTACTTTAAGATGCTGGACTTCAACTCCCAGAATTCTTAGCCAGCCATGCTTTAAAATAAGTGGGCCTCTATTCCCAGAATTCCCCAGCCAGCATGATTTAATAGAGGTGGACTTCAACTCCCAGAATTCCCTAGTCAGCATCCTTTAACAGGCGTGGACTTCAACTCCCAGAATTCCCTAGTCAGCATTTTTTAAGAGGGGTCGATTACAATTCCCAGGATTCCCCAGCCAGCATTCTTTAACAGGGGTGGACTTCAATTCCCAGAATCCTCCAGTCAGCTTTAAGATAGGTGGACTTCATTTCCCAGAATCCCTCATCCAGCCAGCGTACTTTACTTTAAGAGGGATGGACTTCAACTCCCAGAATTCCCCAGCTGGCAGGCTTTAAGATAAGTGGACCTCTATTCCCAGAATTCCCCAGCCAGCATGATTTAATAGAGGTGGACTTCAACTCCCAGAATTCCCTAGTCAGCATCCTTTAACAGGCGTGGACTTCAACTCCCAGAATTCCCTAGTCAGCATTTTTTAAGAGGGGTCGATTACAATTCCCAGGATTCCCCAGCCAGCATTCTTTAACAGGGGTGGACTTCAATTCCCAGAATCCTCCAGTCAGCTTTAAGATAGGTGGACTTCATTTCCCAGAATTCCTCATCCAGCCAGCGTACTTTACTTTAAGATGGCTGGACTTCAACTCCCAGAATCCTCCAGTCACCCATGCTTTAAGATAGGTGGACTTCGTTTCCCAGAATTCCTCATCCAGCCAGCATCCTTTAAACAGGGATGGACTTCAACTCCCAGAATTCTTAGCCAGCAGGCTTTAACAGGCGTGGACTTCAACTCCCAAAATTCCCCAGCCAACCATGCTTTAAGATAGGTGGACTTCGATTCCCAGAATTCCTCATCCAGCCAGCGTACTTTAAGATGGCTGGACTTCAACTCCCAGAATCCTCCAGTCAGCCATGCTTCAAGATAAGTGGGCCTCTGTTCCCAGAATTCCCTAGCTAGCGTACTTCAAAGACGTGTGGACTTCAACTCCCAGAATTCCCTAACCTGTTGGCTGTGAATTTGCACTCCCATCCAGGGGGATTTTCACACGGTTGGGAATAAAACGTCTAAAAACAGAGGCTCTCGCCCTGCAGGCGTTGGAAAATTCGCCGGGAACAAGCTAGCTTTTCTCGGCAAGGAGAAACAAGCATAGACAAGCCATCTTGCAACATCGGTGGCAGAGATCAGGAAAAGAAACCCTCGAAAAGAGACGAGGGAGGGCGAAACTCTCCTTAAAAATATTCTTCTTTTCTTAAAATAAATCCAATCCGGGCTCGGCCTTCCCGCCCAGCAATTTTAACCAACAATGGTGGTTAGTGGTTGCAGGTTTTTTTTTTTTTTAATGTTCGGGCCGCTTGGGAGGTTCCCAAAAAACTGCATGCCCAGCAAAAAAAAAAAAAAGGGCAGCAGGAAACTCAACCGGTTGGAATCCTGCCCGCCTGCGGTTTTCAAGGAAGCCGAGTGGCTTTGAAGGCTTCCCAGGCCCGGGTGGGAATGTCGGCAGACGGGCGCCGTGGTTTTTTACGGAGGTTTTATTTTGTCTTTTTTTCCTCCAAAGGAAGAGAAAACAACCCCCGTGCGAGAGGTTGGGAATGATGGGCTTGTGGGTCCAACGGGGCAGCCAATTACAGAAGGGCAGAATTGAAAGGGACTGTGGAGGGAACAGTAACAAAGTTGGAAGGGACCCTAGAGGTCATTTAGCCCAACCCGCTGCTCAAGCAGGAGACTCTATAGACCAGGGGTGGCCATCTTTGGAATCTTTAAGATTTATGGACTTCAACTCCCAGAATTCCCCCAGTGGACTTCAATTCCCAGAATTCCCCCAGCGGACTTCAATTCCCAGAATTCCCCAGCGGACTTCAACTCCCAGAATTCCCCCAGTGGACTTCAACTCCCAGAATTCCCCAGTGAATGTCAACTCCCAGAATTCTTCAGTGGACTTCAGGTCCCAGAATTCCCCAGTGGACTTTAACTCCCAGAATTCCCCAGTGGACTTTAACTCCCAGAATTCCCCAGTGAACGTCAGCTCCTAGAATTCCCCCAGTGGACTTCAACTCCCAGAATTCTTCAGTGGACTTCAACTCCCAGAATTCCCTGGGGAATTCTGGGAGTTGAAGTCCGTAAATCTTCAAGTGGCCGAGGTTAAACCCAGGCCTGGTGTCGATACTTTTAAGTAGTCTTTGACTTACAACCATTCGCTTAGTGACCGTTCAAACTTACAGCGGCATTGAAAAAAAGCGACTGATGACCATTTTTCACACTTACGACCACTGCATCTTCTCCCTGGTCACGTGATGAAAATTCGTGCAACTGGCATGTACTTATGACGGTTGCAGAGTCCCGGCGATCAAGTCAATAGGGAAGCCAGATTCATTTAACGACCGTGTTGTTGCAGTGATTCGCTTAATGACTGAGTTACTGCAGTTACCGGCACTCTTTCCAGCGGGCACAAACCCCCCCCGGAAGGAGCCAAGGCAAAGCTGGCTGTTGCAGTGCCGGGGTGGCAGGAGAGCCGCCGCCTGGCCTTTCCGAGGGATTTGAACCCATTTCCTCCGGAGCACGGCGGGGCTCTCGTTCGGCTCTTCCCCCGTGCTCCAACCACTGCACCGCACTGCCAGTCCCGTGGCCATGCACCGCGATGCAGAAGGAGCCGAGACTCCCCATTCCTACAAGGGCCGTCCAGGCACTCTGCACATGCTCCGATGTCAAGCCCGATCTCAGAATACGGTTAGTCCTCAACATACGACCACAACCGAGCCCAGAATCGACGAGAAATTAGTTTCGGGGAGTTTTGTCCCATTTTACGACTCTTCATGCTGGTTTTGTTAAGTGAATCGCTGCCGTCGTTAAATGAGAAACCGCGTCAATTGTAATTGGCGGAGTGTCCTCGTCTTACGGCCGCAATGGAAACCCCCCCCCAACGTTTCAGTGGCTAAGTGAGATTTGTTCGCTGAGTTTTGCCCCTTTTTAGGACCTTCCTTGCCACCGTTGTTAAGGGAATCACTGCGGTTGTTAAGTGAGTTACACAGCCGTTAAGTGAGTCTGGTTTCTCCCATTGACTTTGATTGTCAGGAGGTCACAAAAGGGGATCACAAAAGGTGACCGTCATAAATGTGAACTATTTGTCAAGCATCGGAATCTAAATCTGAATGCTGCAATGGTTGTTAAGTGTGAAAAATGGTCGTAAGTCACACTTGTAACTTAAAACGGTCACTAATTGAATAAATTGAGGACTCCCTGTAACAGACTTGGAAGGGACCCTGGAGGTCATCCAGTCCAACCCTCTGCTCGAGTGGAAGACCTTATACAGGTAGTCCTCGATTTACGACCATTCATTTAGTGACCGTTTTTTCAAAGTTACGCCGGCATTGAGAAAAGTGTCTCACGACCACTTTTTCACACTTACAACCGTCGCAGCCTCCCCGTCGTCTCGTGATCAAAATGAAAACGCCTGGCAACCGATTCGTATTTACGACGGATGGGGATCCCCTGTGTGGCGACCTCCCGACGAGCCAAGTCCATGGGGGGGAAGCTGGATTCGCTTAACGACCGTTTCACTTACTAACCTCCTGGAGGGAAGAAGATCAGACTTTCCTCCTGGCGGGGGGGGGGGGAAGGGAGAAAAAAAGGAAGGTCTATCTCCCCCCCCTTGCAAAATTGCCCCCCCCTTCCCCAAATCCCCGGGGAATTTGGAGAAGCCCAAATTCCAGACACACAAATACCCACAATCACACTCACACCCGAGGCAAGCAGAGGCTCGCCGGGTGATGAAACCCGCCGGGCGAGAGGCTGGCACACCCTGTCCTGTCTCAGCCGGGCGGGAGTCTGTCTGGTTGCCCTCCCCCCACCCCGGGGGGGGCCCTCTGCCAGCCCCTCCCTCGGCTGCACCCAGATGTGCAGGAACTACATTTCCCAGGATGCTTAGCCGGCCCAGGCAAAGAGTAGGGCTGCTGGGGGTTGGAGTCCAATGGGACCCCCCCCTTTCCCCATTACATACATTAGAAAGAAGAGATTGAGATTGCCATGTGTCAGAAATGCTGACAAATTTCCAGGTCCGGGGCTGGACTAGATGACCTCCAAGGTCCCTCTGTTCATCTGTAATCTGCAATACCCTTGCAAAAATCTAAGGAATGGTGCTTTTTTTTTTTTTTTCCCAGAGAAGCTGCTGCTTCCTCCTCCGTGCAGGAGATCGCAGCCCCATCCTCCCGTCTCTGCCCATGCAGGCTGGGGAACATGGGTAGTGGAGTCCCCCCCCCCCATGGCACTCAGGCAGGAATTGTTGCCCTTGAAAACAATTCCAAAAAGGAGGTGGGGCTCTTTCCCAACCTCCACAGGAGGAGATTGCAAAACCCACCCACCCATTCTTCTGCCCCCACCTTGTAGGGTGTGGAGCATGGGGAGTGGAGTCCCCACCTGACACTCAAGACGGGAGTCCCTTGCAACAATTCCAAAGAGGGGAGTGGGGGTCTTTCTCAACCTCCATAAGAGGAGATTGCAAACCCCCCCCATCCCCCCACTCTTCTGCCACCCCCCACCCTGTAGGGTGTGGAGCATGGGCTTTGGAGTCCCCACCTGTGCAGATTTCCAGGTGGGGGGGGAGGAGGAAGGGAGGGCTCAGCCTCATCCCAGGGGCTTGCATTCATTCATTCATTCCTGCCCTCCCTCCTTCCCTCTCACCCACCCACCCACCGGAAGTGGCAGGAATTCCCAGGCTCCACGTGACGCTGTGGAATGCGGTGACGTCACCCAGAAGGAGGGGGGGGTGTTCCATCTTTAAAAAAAAAAAAAAAAGTTTCCCCAAAAAAAGAAAGAAAGTTTCTTTGCCGCGTCCGGAGCGGAGAAAGTTTTGGAGAAAGTTTTCTGGGCGCGGGAGGGGGGCGAGAGAGACGCCTGGATCAGGTGAGGAGGGGGCAGAGATGGGGGGGCTTTAACCTGGTTCATTCAGGGTGGGGTGGGGGGGTTTAATCTAAATTGGGGAGGGGGCTCTTCTTGGGGGTCTCCGCTTTGCATCCAGCTGAGCCCCCCCTCCCAGCTCTTTCTGAGCCCCCCCCTCCTAATCTATCTGAGCCCCCCCACCCTCCCCACCGTGGCTCCTTGGCAAAGTGGGGAGCCCCGAGCACCCCCGAGCACGTGCAGAGTGCTCGACGCCCCCCCCTCCCCAGTTTTGAAAGCTGGCCCGGGAGGGGCTGCAGCTTGAGCCAGCTTGTGGTACTCCGCAGCCCATGCGGCGCTGCCTGGCAGCATTGTCCCAGGCATCTGGGCGGGCGACACGTTGGGGAAGGATGCGGGGAAGTGTTGGGCGGGGCGGGAGCGGGTGGGGGGGGAGGTGAGTGACGTCACGCGCAGGCTGCAAAGCCCTGATTTATTTTATTTTTTTACTTATTTTATTTTATTTTATTTTATTTGTTATTTTATTATTTTATTTTATTTTTTACTGATTTTATTTTAATTTATTTTATTTTATTTGTTATTTTATTATTTTGTTTTATTTTTTACTGATTTTATTTTAATTTATTTTATTTTATTTGTTATTTTATTATTTTATTTTATTTTTTACTGATTTTTTTTTACTGATTTTTTTTAAATTTTTTACTCATTTTATTTTATTTATTATTTTATCATTTTATTTTATTTTGTTTGGTTTTTACTGATTTTATTTTATTTTATTTTTTACTGATTTTATTTTAATTTATGTATCATTTTATTAGTTTATTTTATTTTTTGCTGATTTTATTTTTTGCTGATTTTATTTTATTTATTATTTTATTAGTTTATTTTATTTTATTTGTTATTTTATTATTTTATTTTATTTTTTACTCATTTTATTTTATTTTTTACTCATTTTATTTTATTTTATTTTTTACTCATTTTATTTTATTTATTATTCTATCATTTTATTTTATTTTGTTTGGTTTTTACTGATTTTATTTTATTTTATTTTATTTTTTACTTATTTTATTTTAATTTATGTATCATTTTATTATTTTATTTTATTTTTTGCTGATTTTATTTTTTGCTGATTTTACTTTATTTATTATTTTATTAGTTTATTTTATTTTATTTTTTACTTATTTTATTTTATTTTATTATCCTTTTATTGATTTTAATTTTAGTTAGGAGATTTATATGGCCGCCTGTTTGCCCGTGGCAATAATTGCAACATGGTTTATTGCTGGGTTATTCAAACTTGGCCACTTTGAAGCGACTTTGAAGCCGGGTAGACTTCAATTCCCAGAATTCCCCCAGCCAGCCAGCTGGGGGAATTCTGGGAATTGAAGTCCATCCAAAGTTGAAACTTTGAAAAAAACTCTTGATTTACCAAATTGGTTGCCGGAGTTGATGCCCCAAAATGGACCAAACACGACCTCCACTAAGTTACAAGGTGGCTTGTCTTACGGAGAGGCAATCCTGGGCTTGTATTGGCGCTAAGCCACGATTTCTGGCTTTTGGGGAACTCAAAACGCCAGGAATGGTAGTTTGTCGAACCGGACTTTGGGAAACCGGAGCCTAAAACGGGTGAATCAGTTTTGTGGATTGTTTTGATATATTTTTTTTCAGATGGCGCTTGGGGGCGTGCAGGAAAGGAGAGGGGGTTAACCCAAGTTTGCAAAAGCCTTCGTGTGAACTGGCGGGAGGACGGGTAGCCGTGTCTGGATTCCCACGTGGCCTCCTCGTGGCTCACTGAATCTCTAGGGCGGTGGATGATCATTTAAACTGGAGGAATTAGGGAGAAAAATAGGGTTTCTCTGTAAGGCCGGCAGATTGACTGGAATCGTGGTTTGTTTCCTTGCGTGTAAATGTTTAGCATGTTAGTATCACAAGGTCTTTGCCACTGTGTTTTTAGTAATGCCCTAATCATGGTTTGAAAATGGCTTGCCATGAGGCAAAACATGAGCATATGGTTTGTTTGCAGATTTATGGCTTATTCTCATAGCTTTCTTTCTTTTTCTTTCTTTCTTTCTTTCTTTCTTTCTTTCTTTCTTTCTTTCTTTCTTCCTTTCTCTCTCTCTTTTCTTCCTTCCTTCCTTCCCTCCTTCCTTCCTTTCTCTCTCTCTTTTCTTCCTTCCTTCCCTCCTTCCTTTCTCTCTCTCTCTCTTTTCTTTCTTTCTTTCTTCCTTCCTTCCTTCCTTTCTTTCTTTCTCTCTCTTTTCTTCCTTCCTTCCTTCCTTTCTCTCTCTCTTTTCTTTCTTCGTTCCTTCGTTCCTTTGTTCCTTCCTTTCCTTCCTTCCTTCCCTCCTTCCTTCCTTTCTCTCTCTCTTTTCTTTCTTTCTTCCTTCCTTTCTCTCTCTCTTTTCTTTCTTCGTTCCTTCCTTCCTTTGTTCCTTCCTTTCCTTCTTCCTTTCCTTCCTTCCTTTCTTCTTTCCTTCCTTCCTTCCTTTCTTTCTTCCTTCCTTTCTCTCTCTCTTTTCTTCCTTCCTTCCTTCCCTCCTTCCTTCCTTTCTCTCTCTCTCTTTTCTTTCTTTGTTCCTTCCTTCCTTCCTTCCTTCCTTCCTTCCTTCCTTCCTTCCTTCCTTCCTTCCTTCCTTCCTTCTTTCTTTCCATATCTTTCTCTCATCTCTCTCCATTTCTTTATATCTATCCATTCATCTATTATCTCTCTCTTTATTTTTTAATTTCTATCTATCTGCATCTACCTCTCTTGCCTCTCTCTCTCTCTCTCTCTCTCTGTAATGAATGGAATGGAATGGAATGGAATTCTTTATTGGCCGAGTGTGATGGGAGACACAAGGAATTTGTCTTGGGTGCCTACGCTCTCAGTGTTTTTCTCATAAAGAAAAATAAAATACATCCATCCAGAATCAGAAGATACAACATTTGGTGATAGCCATCGGTTACTAATAAGCAATCAAACCATGCTAGGAAACAAATAAAACAATATAAATCGTAAAGAGACAAGCAACGTGGATAGAGCCGTAAGTGGGAAGAGACAGGGACTA